AGATCATCAAAAAGCAAAAAAGCCGTTGAGAAAGGTAAGGCTGCTAAATATCGTATTCTTTCGCACAATTTGACGAAATAGTATTCTAGATGACCCGTGGTGTTTCCTCCTGTCTACTAAAGCTGGGGGTGTTGGCTTGAATCTCAGTGCGGCCGACACGGTCATTTTCTTGGATGCTGACTGGAATCCACAGAACGATATACAAGCCATGGCTAGATGTCACAGAATCGGACAGTCCAAGTCGGTTTTTTCTTTTCGGGTACTGTAGAGCTGGTCTTGAAGATCTATCGCATTTAGGCCAGTCCGCGTAATGCGACTTATTGGACGATACACCGTTGAACAACATATGCATGCTCGTATAAGAGATAAACTAAAATTCACTGACAAAGTGATGGGAAATGATGGTATGTTTTGCAGTGCGTAGTTTTAAGGCTTTATCTTTTTCTTTTTAGTCACTAAATTGACTGCTGTGGACATGTTGGCAATGATAAAGCAAAGCTTGGGAACACTCAAAGAGCAGACACATGTAAAATATGATTTGGTAAGTTGGAGACATCTTTAGATCGCTTGTCATTTTTCATTATTCCCCCCTTTGAGTTATAGCGCTCTGGACTATGAACATATTTTTACTCTCTTTTGGTATGTGGCAAGCCTAAGCAACGTCAACCGCGATACCATGGAGGAAGCTGAACCCTCAAAGCTTTAGCATACCATTACCATGCTTATTCTACCTTTTTCTTCTAAATATAACATTAACTTGGGCCTTCAAGAGGTGGACTACCCTTCAGATATGCTGATCCCCTTAACTCGTAGCATGCCGAGTTACCGAAATTTTCTACTGTGATAGATACAACGCTTTTTTTGTACGTTCTGAATTGAATGCATATTGGCTAGTAGTAAGAATTGGTCCAACATTGCGTTAGGAAATCTAGAATATGAGAAGTGGAAAGATGTGTAAGAGAGGTGGAAGAATCCAGTCTACTCTAAGAACTATTTATTCATATGGACTCTTGCTTTCATTCTGCTGCACCAATCATGTTTCGATCACTCCAAAAAATAAAATGTTTAGGCTAGTAGCTCATTTTCTTAGGAACTTTGGCTATCGAGGCTCATGTATAAAGTAAACAGAGATTTGCAGACAGATAAAGACTTGGAGAGCGTTATTGGAGAAACAAATGCTAAAGGAGAGTGGTTGCCTATAAAGGAGGATAAGGAAAATCAGGTGAGATGTGGTGCCTTCTTTAGTCACTATCCCCACAATAATATTGGGTGTACAACTTAATTCGGTCCGTTTTTTTGCTTGAAAAACGCATTTATTTGAATCATAAA